CCGGGCCTCTGCTCCGCCTTCCAAGTGTGCGCCTCGCAGCGACGGAGTTTGGCCAGAGGGTTTAGCCGAAAAACCGTCTCTCCTACTGTCCCCTGCCCAGAACAGCGCCCTCATGGGCACCTGCCCGCCCCTCTCCCTGCACCCTCCAGATTAGACACGCCCCAGCTCAGCACCCCAGGGCGGGAGCGTGCCAGCAGAGGCGCGGTCGCGGGCTCTCAGGCCTGCGAGCCAGGCTGACTTGGCACAGTGGCCACCCGCTCAGGAGGGGCAGGACCACGCGCTCGCCGCTGCCCGCCACAGTACCCCAGGCGAGTCCCCTGGCCTGGAGAGAGGTCGCGGGATGAGGCGGGCACGTGACCTCGCCGGGCGTGGCCCTCCCCGCGCTGGCTGAAGCGCTCGGGGCGGTGGCCTGCCGGGACCGCGCGATGCCCCTCTGCACTTGGGCACCCCGGGCCTCCACTAACCTGTGTGGGTCCTCAGGTGCGCTTTGAGGTGCGAGGATTTCCCGTAAACTTTCTCGCAGCCCTCATAGTGGCACGTGTGCTTTCTCGGCTGGGATGTGAGATCCGCGCCACGTCTCCCTCTCCAGCCGCCTTGTCGGAGACCGGAGTCGCAACCCTCCGCAGACTCGGGCTCCCGGTCCAGTTCGCGCCCCAGCCCTGGCTCAGGCTCGCGGCCCGCGGGGCTCGGGGGCGCGGCTGCTGGGTCTCTGCTGCTGAGAAAGACCGGCTCGGGGACCAGCGGCGCGGGCGGCGGGGGGCGGGGGGCCCTCGTCTTGGGCACCTCCGCGCCATCGCTGCGCTCCCCCGGGATGGGGTCCTTCGCTTGCGGTTTGAGGTCTGCCAGGGTCCGTGCCACCACGAAGAGGGGGACGCTGTCCTTGCATTCGAGGCGCTCCTGGGCTGGAGGCAGCGCGGTAGCGACCGAGCTCTCGGGCCGGGGGTGCGGCCCGTGCACGACCGCGCCGCTGGACATGGAGACGAGACACTCGGCGGCGAAGTGGTCCCCATCAGCAGCAGCAGCAGCAGCAGCCATGCTCTGGCGGCTCTGCCGGCCCGTGGCAGCACTCCTTCTCCAGAGGCAGTGGCCCCTCCGCGCCCTCGGCTTCCTCGGAGAGCCGGCAGTGGGGTTGGCGGGCTGAGAGCGCCGCCTCCTCCTCCTCCTCCGTCACCCGCGCAGCTCCGCGAGGCTCCCGCCTGCCGGGGCACCGAAAAATGAACGCATACAAAGCGCAGGGGTGAAGCACCCCACCCCTCCCTGGCGCGGTCTGTGTTTGCGGCGGCTGGTCCGAAGGTTGCCGAGCGACAGTTACGTCAGGAACCACAGCAGGTGGTGGCAGCTTTAGCTTCCCGCATATGGTGGTTGGTCCGCCAGCCTAGGAGTAGGCGGCTAGGCCCTGGGGATGGGGGGGCAAGGGTCCCGTGTGGACCCGACGTCAGTCGCGAGCCACATCCTGGCGGCACAGGTTACAGAGGGCGGTGGCCTTAAGGGCTGCGAGCGCAAAGGAGGTGGGGAGCCAGAGGCAGCACCTCCGCCCAATCCCCCGGCGGCTCAGCCTAGGAAAGGGCGTGGTCGAAGACAAGGACGGACGCCATTGGTCCGAGGTCAAGCAGCTGGACCAATCCAGGCGGCCAAGTGGGCTACTGAGGCCTCGGGGCTTGCTCTCTCTAATGGGCACGCCTCCAGCCCAGGCGGGAGGAAATGGGAAATTTGAGCTAGGCGCTGGGCACCCTGACGCGTGACTTCCTAAAGCCTGCAGGCCGGCGTGGGTGTAACCACAGGACTGCCCCCACCCGCTCTACAGTGGAGGCCTGCAGGGCAGGGCATTTTCCTGCATTGAACCTCACCGCCGAGGGAAAATCCCGGAGGTTACTTTTTTCGTCCCTTGGCCCCTGTGCTGGGCTGCTCTGGCTTAGTTGGGCTTTAAAGCCTCAGACCCTGCTTCTTTCCCTTGCCCTCCAAATACGTTTTGCAAGGCGGGAGGTGTACCCATTCCCTAAGTAATCAGCAACTCTGACACACTCCCCCAGCGCCTTAGCACACCTGGTTTCTCCAGGTGGCTCTGGAAGCCTGTGTTAGGCCTGGTTGACTAGAGAAACAAATCCAATGACATTCATATATGTGCAAGAGAAACCTTTATATCAAGAAGTAATTGTCAAGCAAACATCCTAGCACAGTCCAGATCAAGTCCATAAGTCCAATACTAGTCCATTAGTCTGTTACTAGTTCAGAAGTCCCTCCTCAGACTCACACAGTCACATGCAATGATGCAGAATGCAGGAAGATCACAGGCCAGTAGGTGCAAAGACATGGGGTTCCAATGGCAGTGGTTCTGGCAGCTCTCCCAGTGACTCCACAGCAGGAAGGTGGAGGGGAATGTTCCCAGCACCATCCTTATGAGAAAGCCATGCCCATAAGGAGGCACCTTCAGGTTGTAGCCTGATTAACAGGCTGGACTCCACCCCAACATTTTTATATATATCTTCAAGTTGGTATAAAATTATGTAACTACCACAAACCCAAGCTGCTTGTAGCCTGTATGTGCTCTATCTTAAGACTATCCAGCAAAAGGCATGAGGTCCCAGGTGAAGAAGGCTGCTTCTGCAATAGTGGCTAGAAGACCCTCCACTTGTCCTTAGAAGCCAGAGATCCAGGTAACTGAGCCTAGGATCTGTGTTGCCTGAACTGGCACCAGGACTGACAGAGGTGCCAGGAGACACCCTCTGGAACCTGTACTGGCAAGAAGTGTATGAAAAACAATTTGGGGCTGCTGGGCTGTGGGCCCCTTCTTCCCCTCCATGCCCTCAGGCCTGCTGTCCACTTCCCTAGTGTGGTAGTTACATAATCTATTGTCAATTTGGGACTTGAGAAGATTAAGAGTGAGGGGTGGAGTCTAGTCTGTCAATCAGATCATAGCCAACAAGGCCTCTGTGTGAGCATGGCCTTCTCCTGAGATTCTGGAAACTCCTGTATTTTGTTCTTTGGAGTCTGGAGATACTTTTCTCTCTCTACTCACTCCCTGTGAGACACTCTACTGAGAAGGCTGACTCCCTGTGAGACATCACTGAAGAGAAGCCACATGGACCTACCCTGATGCAGTCCTGGGTGCTGGAGAAGCCACCTGGAGACCCCTGCCAGCGCTGAGATGCTTACAACGCCACTGGATCCAAAGACTTCCCACCCACTGTCCTGTGATCATCCTGTACTCAGCGTCATTGCATGTGTTTTGTGAGTCAGAGAGGACTTTATAGATTGATATCGGACATATGGGCTAGTATCAGACTTATGGACTTGATCAGGACTGGGCTGGGATGTTTCCTCTTGTGTATAAAACTCTTTCTTATACATATGGATTTGTTTCTCTAGTCTACCCAGACCAACACACCTAGGCTGCACCATTCCAAAGACTTCAAAAGCCACCAGCTAGGAGGACCCCACCCACCAAATTCCATCTACTTACTGTCTGGGCTTCCTAAAGCAATGGTGCCGAGGCATAAGGCCAGCTCCTTCCCTGCCTAGGCCAGTCAGCTCCCTTTGACTCACCTGCATCAACCTCTGCACACAGCCCACACCCCACACCCTCACAACGATTCTCCTTGGGGCTTAGAGAGGAGAGTGCTTAACTACCACAACATATACCTGTAAATCAGCGGTTCTACCTGTGGGTGCAACCCCTTTGGGAGTCGAACAACCCCTTCACAGGGGTCACCTGATTCCTAACAGTAGCAAAATTACAGTGATGAAGTAGCACTGAAAATAATTTTATGGTTGGGGGGCCACCACAACATAAGGAACTGTATTAAAGGGTCACGGTATTAGGAAGGTTGAGAACCACTGTTAGCACAAATTAAGTGCTGTGTCTCCCCTGCCAAACATTTGCTGGCAGCCCCTGATGCCAGTGGGAGGAGGTCTGGGGTCTGCAGCTATGCCTTTTGGTCTAATGTATGTTCCAGGAGGAACCCTGGTAGCATAGTGGTTATGAATTGGGCTGCACACTGGAAGGCCACCAGATGGAAACTACGTGCTGGGGGCAGTTTTACCCTGTCCTACAAGGTTGCTATGAGTCAGCATCTACTCAAAAGCAGTGCTTGATTTTGGTTTGACTCTTCTAAGGAGTCAGCTGCCCACGTGAGAACCATTGGGAATAAATAGCCAAACTAGCACCTGCCCTATAAATCAGTAAGTGAGTTGGGGCAGAGTCTACCAACTCACAGAATTCAAAATATGGTGGAGTTGAATTTCTTACCGAGTTAATTGGGGGCCACTGCACAAAAGACTGTGTTTCAGGCAACCAAGTAAGAAGTGAGAATGCGATTCTGGGTTGCATGTTATGGTATACTGAAAACTCCTATGGAAGTTGACTACCCCGAATCTCTTATTGCTGTGTGGCCTATACTGTAATGTTTCCTCTCATACATCAAGTAAGTGCTCTCCAGGAAACCTGCCCATTGTATTGAGCTGGGGTGAGCTGAGTAGGGGCCCCTGGGTGAGCCCCACCAGTGGGGCTCTGCTGATGCTTGTTCCTCTCTCAAACAGATTGTGTTGGTGGTATTTAAAGTTACAATGCTTAGCAACCTTGAGAGAAAAGAAATTCTGAGATTTTTTAATGAAAAAAACCTTAGGGAAAAAAAAAGAAAAGTAATAAAAAATAACGAAGAAAAAAAGCAAAAAACAAAAAGAAAGAAAGCTAAGAAAAAATCCCATCTTGTTGTAAGCTGCCAACGAGTAGGTTCAAACCCATATTGACCCTATGCATAACAGAACAAAACAATGCACGTCCCTGCACCATCCTCACAATTGTTCCCATGCTTGAGCACATTGGTACAGCCACTGTGCCAGTCCATCTCTTGGAGGCCTGCCTCTTTTTCACTACCCCTCCACTTCACCGAGCATGATGACCTTCTCCCAGGACTGGCCCCTTCTGAAAATTTGCCTAACGTATGTAAGTTGCAGTCTGACCATCCTCACCTCTAAGGAGCACTCTGACCATACTTCTAAGACAGATTTGTTTGTCCTATTGGCAGATCTGTCAACATCTGTCAACATTCTTTACAAGGACCACAATTCAAACACAAAGATTCTTTTTTGTTTTTCTCTTTCAATGCCCAACTTTTACATGCATATGAGGCAACTGAAAATACCATTGCTTAAGGGCAGGCACATCTTAGTCCTCAGAGTAACATCCTTGCATGTCAACACTCTAAAAATGTATTGTGCAGCAGATGTGCACAATACAACTCATCTTTTGGTCTCTTGACTGCTGCTTCCATGAGCATTGATTATGGAATGAAACAAGATGAAATCTATGACAATATCCATCTTTTCTGCATTTATCACAATGTACCTATTTGCCCTGTTGTGAGAAGTTTGCTTTTCTTATCATTGAGTTGCAATCCATACTGAAGGCTGCGACCCTGAATCTTCATCAGCAAGTGCTTCAAATGCCTCACTTTCAGCAAGCAAGGTGTGTCATGTGCATAGATCAAGTTGCTCATAAGCTTTCCTCCAATCCTCTTTCCTCATTCCTCTTCATATAATCCTGATTCTCTAATTATTTGCTTAGTGTACAGATTTAATAAGTATGGTGAGAGTATATAACCCAGATGGATGCCTTTCCTGATTTTAAACCATGCAGCATAACCTTGAGTTTGTACAACTGCCTCTTGATCCATGTACAGGTTCTGCATGAGCACAATGAAGTGTTCTAGAATTCTCAATGTTTTCTAGGCTATCCATAGTTTCTTATGATCCACACAGTGAAACGCCTTTGTGTAGTAAATAAAATACAAGGAAACATCTTTCTGGTAATTTCTGCATTAAGCCAATATCCATCTGACATCAGCAGTGATAGCCCTTGTTCCACATCCTCTTCTGAGTAGCAGAGAGAGAGGTGTCTTCCACCTCCAAGGAGGAAGTACCAGATTTCCCAGAATTCTCAGGAGAAGGCCATTCCCACAAAGAAGTCTCATTGGCTATCTCCAGATTGACAGCC